TTTCATCACTGTTAGAGCTATCACTTGGGAACAAAAGACCTCCAATCCGCCGAGGAGTGAGGAACTTCTTACCGAGAGGCATGATGAAAATGGACTAACAACATGGCGTTCCCACAATGCACAGCTGGGTCCCAGATTTTTTCACAGGGTGCACACCGACCACTAAGACCCATTCTCTCTCATGTAGGCCTACCAGGCCTTTCCCGTTTTTTTTGAACCCGCTGTTTTTTGTGCGTATAAAACGTAAAAATTGGCTCGTAAGACGTTTATAGTCGGAAAAGTAAAAGGGGTTAAAACTGTCCAACATAATATCGTTTGCTCACCAGTTCCAAAGTAGATCAGCATTTTATTTTTCTTTCCCTTAAAAAATTGGGGCAATGGGCCTGACTTGCCAGACAAAAGGGAATGGGTTTACCCTTTCAGGGCCCAAAGGCCAAATTTCAAAGTGTGCACAGTGTCCAAAATTTTCAAAAAAAAAATTTTTGTTATTTTTTTTTATGAAAGGTAAGAATCTTTTTCTGAAGGAATAAAACAAAAAAGTACGAAATTTGATGGGAAAAAAACGAATTATGCCTCTCGAATTTTTAGTTTCAGCGGGATTTTGCATTGGGAATTTGCCAACTTTTACTCCCATTTTAGGCCGTTATATTATTCCCTCGACCAAATTCTTAGCTATTTCACTATATTCTTTTATTCTATTGATTTTGGGAAATAAATCGCCAAGTCAATGTTTAAAATACAAAAAAAAAAGTATCGGAAAAAGGGGAATTGGCCAAATTTTAAAGCAAATTCAAAATACCAATTTTTCAAAATGGGGCCAAATAAACAAATTAGGCATTCCTGGGGCAAAATAAATTTCCTCTGTTATTGTTATTTTTTTATTCACATAATGAATATTTATTCAAACCAAAAAAAATAGAAGATTTACTGTTATGCAATACAGTGGACCCCCGGTTAACGATTTTAATCCGTGCAAGAGGGGTAATTGTTATGCGAAATAATCGTTATGTGAATGAATTTTCCCCATAAGAAATAATGGAAATAAAATTAATCCGTGCAAGACACCCAAAAGTATGAAAAAAAAATTTTTACCACATGAAATATACATTTTCCCACACACAAAGAGAAGGATACATGCACAATAGTAGAGTAGTACATGCACAGTATATATTGTGCATGTACTAGTCTACTAAATGAAGAATAAATGACACTTACCTTTATTGAAGATGCAGCAATGACTGATGAGACACTGTGTCCTGGGAGTGCCTTTTCCTCCTGAGTACTGTAGGTCCTGTTTGGCATTTTCTTCCAGAACAGGCCTTATCACACTGTGTATGCCCACTACGATTCTTAAATCTCTCAAAACCCAACCTTTGCTGGCTTTAATTCACCAATATGAGCACTAGTTCCAGGCATTTTTCCCTGTTCACCTGGGTGTTAGTCGACTTGTGTGGGTTGCATCCTGGGAGACAAGATTAAGGACCCCAATGGAAATAAGTTAGACAGTCTTCGATGACACTGACTTTTTTGGGTTATCCTGGGTGGCAAATCCTCTGGGGTTAATTGTTTCTTGGTATTCTCAATAAGCCACACCAACAACGGTGCTACAGCAGCAGCAGCAGCTGACAGTGCAGCAGCAGCAGCATGCTGTACCACCAATAGTAGCGATGGTTGATTGGGGTTTATTATACAACCTGGCCAGCTCGGAGACATGCACTCCACTTTCATACTTATCAATGATCTTTTTCTTCATCTCTATTGTAATTCTCACCCTTATCTCTCTCTCCAGGTATTGCTGTAGGGTTGGCATTAGAAGCTTTCTTGGGGCCCATGGTCACTTATTTTCCAGAAAAAAGCACCGAAAACACTGTAATAATACGAAATATTCCGATTGTATGCTTGGATGTTACCGCGGAGGCTGGCTGGTAAACAATGCCACCGGCGGAACATGTGAGCGTGGCTCAGGCCGCACATTGGACGCGTCTCGGACGAAATCGGTAAGCGGGTTTTTATAGCGGTATGTGAGGCAAAATTTTTGCAATTAAAGTAAGGGGTATGCGAAATAATCGCTATGTGATGCCATCGTTATGCGGGGGTCCACTGTACTGTAATAATTGTATAAATAATATCACCACATTTGTGAACGTATATTAGACCCACCAGCTGGCGTGTATTAGACGTGTGGGATCATTTGTTTACTCTTGAACATCGGCAAAAATTTAACGTTTCTGCTATTTTGAGCTCAGTCTCAACCCATTTCCATTACTAAAACCAGTCAAAATCATCTCTGTTTCTGTAATATATCTTCCATTCTATCAAATGAGACCAAGAAATCGCAAATACATCTATAAAAAACACAAGAAAAACACTGCAAAGTCGCTGTTTTAATCTCTCATGCACTGTGTGTTGCAGGATTTGTTTTATGTGGTGCGCACATACCACATAGGTGTATTCTCTCATATCTAGGCCCAGATTTACTGCTCACAGCTTATCAGAGTGAGCTGGGGCTCATGGCGTAGATCTACGGTTTGGACCCTGAACGTAAAGTCGTAGATCTACAGCACGGACCCTCAAAGGGTTAACACTTGGTGTGTGAAGTATTAAAAAAATATGGGACCACTTAGTACCTTGTGGGAGCACCAGTTCAATTGAGCGCCAGCTAGAGCAAATAGCGTGGCAAACACCGGTGATTTGCTGATGTCAGGTCGCATTAGCACTCCCCTTTTAAGAGGAAAGTAAAAATAGGTTAAATAAATACATGAGTGGGTGTGAGTTGGACCTGACTAGCTTGTGCTACTAGGTCTGATGTCATGCTGCTTCGTTCAGTGGATGTGACCTGACTAGGTGGGTCATTGGTCTAATCCTGGGGGTGACATGGACCTGCCTTGCAAGGCCCAGTAGGCCTGCTGCAGTGTTCCTTCTTTCTTTGCTCTTATGTATTCAGCAGGCTGGCTGGCTCTGTCTCTGTCTATATCTCTGTTTATCTCTGTCTGTCTCTCACATGTACACATAAGTACAGTTATTATATATAGTGTAAATTACCTAGGATAACCCAAAAAATTTCCAGACAAAGTGCTATACTGTGCTTGTAGATATAAGACATAACCATGATGCAATATGCAGTTTTACTTCCTCAGGAATCAGGGAGCAACTCATAAACCAACAGTTTTACAATGAGCCAGAGACAGATAAGCAGAGCTAGACAGATACAGACATGTTTGTGTGTAACAGTGAAAACAAAGCGAGGGTTCCTGGAGCAGTGCGCATTCATCAAGTGTCACTGGGCTGTCAACAATTTACTGACACTTGTTATAACACCATTCTTCAAGGAGTTTCATATATATTTCAGACACACACAGATAGACAGAAAGACAGATGAGCAGAGCTAGACACACAGATAGATAGACATATGTAACATTGAAAGCAAATAAGGATTCCCTGAGTGCACATTCATCAAGTGTCACTGTCTGTCAACAGTTTACTGACACTTGTCATAACACCATGCTTCAAGGTATACTCCAGCATGTCTAAAACATTGCTGGGACCTATAAATACTTTGTATATATTTCTAGACAATAGTAAATGTCCCAGGCAGTTGAAAATGTTCACCTGTCAGTGTGATTGTGACTATTTGAGTACTATTTCAGTACCTAATATTAGTGTCAGAACAAAGATTGGCTTTGAAATCACAAGAACTATTATAAATTGTAATTATTTGAACATAAAAAATATATAAATTAAAATAAAAACAAAGAAAAAGGGTATATCGACAACATTTCTGCAAGCGGCAGGAGTCTATGTTGCCGTCAGGTGAGCATTCAGCACAAACTTCACGGGCTTATATCTCGGTAAGTACTGACCCAAAATAAAAAAATTTTACTTCGCTCTCTCCCCCCCCCCTTTTTTTTTCTAAATCAGAGCGCTAGACGAGTGAACGTAGATCTACATTTGGACAGTTTAAAGGTTAAAAACCCTTCATTAGAAAGAGCAGATTCTTAACTACAAGATATCTGTTTTCTGGTTAGGTGTTTTGCCCTTGAAGAGAGAAAACAGGCTTTAAAATAAGGTGATTTTTGGCTTGTACAACATTATAATGAAAACCAGGCAATTTTCAGTTATTGTTATAGAGTAACAACAGTTAGAACTTCGTGTTTCGGTGTCCTTATACAATTTTCAGTGGCAATTTTAGAAATTGTTATCTGAATTGATAGAGACTGATATTTATTTTGTAAATTAAGCTTAAATTTGTCAAAAAAGTGTTGTGACAAATGGCAGATTTTGACGTTGCATGGTGCCTGTGCCACTATGACTTCTTAAAAAATTGGTAACCCCATTGCCTAGGGACCACACCTTGTACCCATACAATAACAGCCACAGGTGGTGGACCACTTTCTCACAGGATCCCAAGCCTCTCACTGGGCTTCTTTGCCACAGGATCTCAAGCCTGAATTTGGGCTTGTTTCTGGTTCCAAAACCAGAGCTGTTGCTTAATTCATGGCAACAGAAAATTTTTCAACAATGCTGGACATGGTTGCTGGCAACAGGCAGTATTGTTGTCCCATTGATGGTGCTGATGAAAAATTTTCTGTTGCCATGAATTAAGTAACAGCTTTGGCTTGGGAACCAGAAAGAAGCCCAAATTCAGGTTTGGGATCCTGTTGAAAAAAGAAAAAAACTAATTTAAGGCTTGGAATCTTGTGGCAAAGAAACCTGAGTCGAGGCTTGGGAACCTGTGAGAAAGTGGTCCACCACTCATAGCTGTTAATGTATGAGACGCAGCAAAAAAGCGATGGGGTTACCAATTTTTTAAGAATTGGTATTGCCACCCCGAGCCAACACAGTATTTATGTTTTGTTGAAAATTAGAAATGTCAAAATCTGCTATCACAGTTGTCACGACACTTTTCTGACAAATTTAAGCTTAACCCTTTTACTGTCAGTCCCATAATATTTTGGCTTGCAAGCCAGTGTTGGTCCTGTAATATTACGCCTTAATTCTAGCGGCTTCCAGTCTTGTGGAAGAAAGCTGATGGCCTGCATATGAGAGAATGGGTCTGAGTGATCTGTGTGTGCAGTATAAAAAAAAATCCAGCAGCACGCAGTGCATAATAAGGTAAATAAAACTTCGATTGTGTTTTTGGTTTAACCTTTAAACGGTCCACACGCATACAGTAGAACCTCTGCTTACAAGCGCATCCACGTGCGAGTTTTTCCAAATATGAGCAGTTGATGGATCGATTTTTTGCTTCCATACGCCAGCGAAACTTCCATAAGCAAGCAGACCTCAAGGGAGGTTCCTTGATGCTGGTGAGGGGCTCTTGTTCTTGATCTAGGGAATTGGATCTCATTTGTTTGTTGGACTATCTCATTGAAACTTGGGCAGTATATGATGGAAAGATGATTCTTAACATACACCAAAAATGAAAGAAATCAGAGCATAAATAATGGAGTTCACTATTCAGCAATTAGCCACCCCTTAGAGGTATTTTTGTGTGGTATTTATTGTTGTATTCTCGTTTTTTGGTCTCATTTGATAGAATGGAAGATATATTACAGAAATAGATATGATTTTGATTGTTTTCAGGACAAAAAGAACCTCGAAATTGAGCTAAACTTAGGAGAATTGTTCGATTTTTTTTGGTTTAGCAAGAGAAAAACAAATACTTCACTGTCCATTCAAATTTTTAAGCCCCGTGAATGGTTTAAACGTTATTTATAAAATTTAACAGGGGAAACCCCCGGGCGATGGCATCGGTACCCCGAAAAAATCCGGTTTTCGAAACTTTTTTAACACAAAAAATTTTCCCCTTTTTTCCCAAAAAAAAAAAAAAAGGGCCATACCAATTCGCCAAGACGTGCCCCACATGGGGCCTAAAACTGCCCCGGCTGCCAGTGTTTAAAAAAGGCCACCCATGTGCTCACATCTAAGGAAACATTTTTGAAACTTTCCCCAAAAAAACCATTTTTTTTGGTGCTTTTTTCTGCAAAAAAAATTCACCAGGGCCCCCAAGAAAGCTTCTAGTCCCAAACCCCTTTGGGTAAAAAGGGTGAAAATTTAGTAGGGAAAAATTAAAAAGTTTTTGGGAAGGGGTTTTGAGGCAAACCCCCCTGAGAACCCTATGCCATTGTGGAACCCATTGTGCCTATTTAAAAAAAATTTAAGGGAAAAGGGGTGAAACATTGGGTTAAAACTGCAAACCTTTATGATGAAAAAAAACCCTAAAAACAGCAAATTGCAAGCCAGGGCGGGGTGACTATTCAATACAGTGTTGGGGCCCATTTTAACAAACCGAAAGGAACGGGGAAACGGGGCTCTAAAAAACAGATTTTTTGTGTGACAGGGGAGATAACCCCAAAAGCTGGTCCAAGGGGCAATAAAAAAAGGGAAAAAGAAACCCCCGGAAAAAAGGACTTGAAACCCTTTAAAGCCCCTAAGGGAAAGGGGTTTCCCCCTTTAAAAAACCCAATAATTTCGAAAAATCTCCCCCTCCCCCCATCCCATAAAATAAAACACCAATTTTCTTTAAAGGGTAAGTGCCCAAGTATTCTATTTTAGAAAGAGTAAAAACAAACTGTGAAATTACCCCCTTCCAGTTTTTTCCCTTAAACTTAATATTCATGTTTTAAAATTTTTTTTTTTTTCCATATTTTTGGGTTTTGCCCCTTCACGGTTTAAATTTTATTTCCATTATTTTTTAGGGGGAAAATTTGATTTGCTTTTCAATAATTTTGGTTTACAATGAGCTCTCAGGAATGGATTAATATTGCAAACTGGGAGTCCACTGTATTGCAGTAAGGCAGTAGTCTGCATAACAGTAAATCTTATATTTTTTGTGTGAATAAAAATTACAAATTATTTCTTCTTCTTTCTTTCAACACACCGGCCGTATCCCACCGAGGCAGGGTGGAGCTAAAGGAAAAACGAAATTTTCTCCTTTTACATTTAGTAATATATACAGGAGAAGAGGTTACTAGCCCCTTGCTCCCAGCATTTGAGTCGCCTCTTACAACATGCGTGGCTTACGGAGGAAGAATTCTGTTTGACTTCCCCATGGAGGTAAGAGGAAATAAACAAGAACAAGAACTAGAAAGAAAATAGAAGAAAACCCAGAGGGGTGTGTGTATATATATGCTTGTGAACATCTAAATGGTATACAGTACCGACAGATTGTTAGGTAAGACACATATGCAACAGTTAGGCAACTTTATTCCGAAACGTTTCGCCTACACAGTAGGCTTCTTCAGTCGAATACAGAAAGTAGGCAGGAACAGTAGAGATGTGAAGACGATGTAATCAGTCCATCACCCTTCACATCTCTACTGTTCCTGCCTACTTTCTGTATTCGACTGAAGAAGCCTACTGTGTAGGCGAAACGTTTCGGAATAAAGTTGCCTAACTGTTGCATATGTGTCTTACCTAACAACCTGTCGGTATTGTATACTATTTTGATGTTCATCTTGTCAGACACTGCAACACGTGGCATCTTGGTACAGAAAACACCTTGGACAACCTTTTCAAGTGAGAATTGTTGGATCTGAGAGGGACATGAACTCTGTGGCTACATTCTCACTACTACTACTAGTCTGCACCTCTCCTTCCGACAGTATTTAAGTCTCTGCACTGTCGCTTGATCTTCAGATAGTTCCTGACTATGGAACTGAACTTCTCCAGGCTGAGGGACTGACAACCTCAAATTCTTCGACTTCAAGGGTGATGGACTGATTACATCGTCTTCACATCTCTACTGTTCCTGCCTACTTTCTGTATTCGACTGAAGAAGCCTACTGTGTAGGCGAAACGTTTCGGAATAAAGTTGCCTAACTGTTGCATATGTGTCTTACCTAACATATATATGCTTGTACATGTATGTGTAGTGTGACCTAAGTGCAAGTAGAAGTAGCAAGACATACCTGAAATTTTGCATGTTTATGAGACAGACAAAAGACACCAGCAATCCTACCATCATGTAACATCAATTACAGGCTTTCATTGTACACTCACTTGGCAGGACGGTAGTACCTCCCTGGGCAGTTGCTGTTTACCAACCTACTACCTAGGTACAGATTATTTATATTGTAATAATAATATGTATAATAATAATACATATAATAATAGTATAATAATATAATAATAATAATAAAGTTGAAAGTGAACATAGAAAAGAATAAGGTGATGAGGGTATCAAATGATTTAGATAAAGAAAAATTGGATATCAAATTGGGGAGGAGGAGTATGGAAGGAGTGAATGTTTTCAGATATTTGGGAGTTGACATGTCAGCGGATGTATTTATGAAGGATGAGGTTAATCATAGAATTGATGAAAGAAAAAAGGTGAGTGGTGCAATGAGGTATATGTGGAGACAAAAAATGTTAAACATGGATGCAAAGAAAGGAATGTATGAAAGTATAGTAGCACCAACACTCTTATATGGGTGTGAAGCTTGGGTTGGAAATGCTGCAGCGAGGAGGCGGTTGGAGGCAGTGGAGATGTCCTGTCTAAGGGCAATGTGTGGTGTGAATATTATGCAGAAAATTAGGAGTGTGGAAATTAGGAGAAGGTGTGGTGTTAGTAAAAGTATTAGTCAGAGGGGTTGTTGAGGTGGTTTGGTCATTTAGAGAGAATGGATCAAAGTAGAATGACAGGGAGAGCATATAAATCTGTAGGGGAGGGAAGGCGGGGTAGGAGTCGTCCTTGAAAAGGTTGGAGGGGGGTAAAGGAGGTTTTGTGGGTGAAGGGCTTGGACTTCCAGCAAGTGTGCGTGAGCATGTTAGATAGGACTGAATGGAGACGAATGGTATTTGGGACCTGAAGATCTGTTGGAGTGTGAGCAGGGTAATATTTAGTGAAGGGCTTCAGGGAAACTGGTTATTTTTATATAGCTGGACTTGAGTCCTGGAAATGGTAAGTACACTGCCTGCACTTTAAAGGAGGGATTTAGGATATTGGCAGTTTGGAAGGATATGTTGTGTATACAGTGGACCCCCGCATAACGATGGCATCACATAGCGATTATTTCGCATACCGCTTACTTTAATTGCAAAAATTTTGCCTCGCATACCGCTTAAAAACCCGCTTACCGATTTTCGTCCGAGACGCTTCCAATGTGCGGCCTGAGCCACGCTCACATGTTCCGCCGGTGGCATTGTTTACCAGCCAGCCTCCGCAATAACATCCAAGCATACAATCGGAATATTTCGTATTATTACAGTGTTTTCGGTGCTGTTTCTGGAAAATAAGTGACCATGGGCCCCAAGAAAGCTTCTAGTGCCAACCCTGTGGTAAAAAGGGTGAGAATTAGTATGGAAATTAAGAAAGATTTTGAAGGGTTTGGGGCTAACCCTGAGAAGCCTATGCCAGTTGTGGAATCCATTGTGCCTACTTCAAAAATTAAGGAAATGTGTGCACAGTGGGTTGAACTGCAAACCTTTATGGATGAAAATCACCCTGACACAGCTGTTGCAAGCCGTGCTGGTGACTATTTCAATGACAATGTTGTGGCCCATTTTAGACAAATCGTAAAGGAACGGGAGGTACAGAGCTCTATGGACAGATTTGTTGTGCGACAGAGGTCCAGTGACTCTCAAGCTGGTCCTAGTGGCATTAAAAGAAGAAGGGAAGTAACCCCAGAAAAGGACTTGCTACCTCAAGTCCTAATGGAAGGGGATTCCCCTTCTAAACAGTAAGAAGATAATGCTCTCCCTCCTCCCATCCCATCAATCATCACCAGATCTTCAATAAAAGTAAGTGTCATGTAAGTGTGCATGCCTTTTTCAGTTTGTGTGTATTAAAATTAACATTTCATGTGGTAAAAAAATTTTTTTTTCATACTTTTGGGTGTCTTGCACGGATTAATTTTATTTCCATTATTTCTTATGGGGAAAATTCATTCACATAACGATTATTTCGCATAACGATTACCCCTCTTGCACGGATTAAAATCGTTAACCGGGGGTCCACTGTATATGTATATGCTTCTAAACTGTTGTATTCTGAGCGCCTCTGCAAAAACAGTGATTATGTATGAGTGAGGTGAAAGTGTTGAATGATGAAAGTATTTTCTTTTTGGGGATTTTCTTTCTTATTTTGGGTCACCCTGCCTTGGTGTGAAATGG